AGCATGCTTAGTGTGGGGGATTGTATTTGAGTCAATGAGTCAATGCAATCAACTGGTTTTCCTTAGATAGAAAACTTTGTATCAATTTGACTGTATGATCTGGTTGAACTGTAAAGTGCCTTGAGATGACATGTGTTGTGAATTTGGCGCTATATAAATAAACTGAATTGAAATTGAATTGAAATTGAATATGTAACTCCATGCGTGCCCGTCTCACAGCTGATGTGAAAAACATGGGGAAACAAATTAACGCTGTGCTCGCTGTTCAACCGCTCGACATCGGTGTGAACCGGACCCAGCAGGTGCAGCAGAAGCAGCGAGTTTACATGCAAAGTCAATGGTTGACGCGCGTATAGGTGCAGCAAAAGGTCCCGCAGCGCGTTTTGAGCAGCAGGCGCAGCGCCTCGGGAGCGTTTAAGTATCTGACGCACCGCCAACGTGCTGCTGCTGCTCGAGATGAAAAAATTGAAGTTTTGCTGCTGGACGCGCCGCATCAACCAATCAGAGAAGCTGATCTGGGAGCTGACAGCAAGACAGACACAACGCTCTGATGACATTAACGCAAATGAAAAAGGCTGGATGGATGAGGAGATGATGAAAGGCAGGTGTATGTGAGGAGACCAGGTGCTTTTTCCACGCATCACCATCGCTGTGTGCCCATCTCACAGCCGATGTGAAAAAAAAAGGTGAATCAAATGAACGCTGTGCTCGCCGTTATCCCAGGGGGTCTGACAAAGGAACTTCAACCGCTCGACATCGGTGTGAAGCGGCCGTTCAAAGTAAGGCTGCGAGAGGCGTGGGAGCGATGGATGACAGACGGAGACCACAGTTTCATGATAAGTGGAAGGCAGCGCCGGGCAAGTTATGCGTTTGGATTGTGGCCACTGTTTGCGGATGGATTGTAGATGCTTGGACTAACGTGTCTGCTGGCTCTGTTGTTCAAGCTTTCGCAAAAGCCGGCATTATTTCTGAGGAGCCGCGCTGCACGGAAAATGACTCTGACAGCGAAGAAGGGGAAATTGGCATGTCTGATTTAGCGCAGCTGTTTAATTCAGAAACAGAGGATGATGACTTTGATGGGTTTGATTAATACTTTGTAATAAATACATGAATAAAGCACAATCATACTCAGTTTTGCTCCCGCTCTATTTTTCTACCTGAAAACTTAATTCAACAGCAGCCTCTGGGCGCGTCTCCTCCTCTTCACCGCGGTGGCTGGCAGGTGTTTTTTCATCTAAATAATCTAAATCTTGCAGCTATATTTGCTGTGATCAGTGGGAATAAAGTAATTTTAATATGTTTTTAAGTGAGAAAGGCCACCTGAAAACTTAATTGCAGTCAGTTCATCCAGATGATCTATTTCTGTTGGAGGCGCTCAGACCCCCACATACCAGCGGTGCACCGACAGTAGAAATCCCTTCAACAGCAGCCTCACCGCGGCGGCTGGCAGGTGTTTTTCATCTAAATAATTTAAACTGCAGGCACCAGGATACCGGCAATAAAAGCGAACATATTCCGTCGGCAGGTTTCAGGAGTTTAAGTTAATTTAGGAGTAATCACAGCGCTGTGTCATCTGCGATGTGTCTGTCTCACGGCCAGCTCCCAGGTTTGATTAATACTTTGTAATAAATACATGAATAAAGCACAGTCATACTCAGTTTTGCCCCCGCTGTATTTTTAAATACGCAGTAAAGCTATTTAAAAGTAGTAGAGGACATGTACCTGTATATAAAAAACGCGCCCTCCGGTGCGCCTTATGTGTGTGTTAAATACAGAAATGGCACACATAACTGAGACTGCGCCTTTTAGTACGGTGCACCTTATGGTCGTGAAAATACGGTATCTACACACGGGACCACCTCCTCGGACTAAATGACTCTATGCGCAGCAGCCCTGCTCCCTGTCATGCTGCAAGACCAGACATCCATGCAAAAATAAGGACAAAAACTGAGAATGCAGGGGTGGCAGGACAAAGCAGAGGGAAATATATTTACCATTGGTTGTCATTGGAAATGTAAGATCTATCCACAACAAGACTGAGGAGCTTGCAGCTTTAACCCACTACCAAATGAGGTACAGCAACGCTAGTATCATGTGCTTCACTGAGACGTGGTTAGATGGATTTGTCCTGGAATCTGGTTTCCCTGGACGGCTTTAAACTCATCTGCGAAGACAGTATTTTAGCGGAGAGTGGAAAAAGGAGAGGAGGAGGGCTGGCGATGTTTGTGAATATGAGGCTCATCTTTAACTGAAGGAACAGATATGCTTCACAGAGGTGGAGGTACTCATGGTGAGCCTGAGATCATCCTATCGTCCACGAAAGTTTGGGAGCACGAACGTGCTCTGTGTTTACACATCCCCCCTCCGCAGACGTCACTACTGCATGCGAGCGAATCCACGGCGCCGTGGCCAGGCTGCAAACACAGCACCCGAACTCGCTACTGCTCATCAGTAGGAGCTTCAATCGAGTCTTCATCCATTCCACCCTCCCCACGCTCACCCAGTACGTCAACTGTAAAACAACGGACAATAAAACCCTGAAAATTTTTTATGCAAACAATAAAGACGCCTACACCTCCGCCCCCCTCCCATCACTAGGACTCTCGGATCATAATCTTGTTTACCTGCTCCCCCATTATATACCAGAGGTGAGAAGGACAATAGTGCAGAAGAGGTCAGTGAACGTTTGGTAAGATTATGGACCATGGTAAGTCCCACCCTGGACCCACTGCAGTTTGCTTACCAACCTGACATCGGAGTGAAGGATGCCATCACCTACCTGCTGCAGCGGATGTTCACCCACCTGGAGCGCAGGTAGAGTCATGTGCTTTGACTTTTCCAGCGCTTTCAACAGCATCAGACCAGAGATGCTGAGAGGGAAGCTGGAGGATGCTGGAGTGGACAGACATTTTGCTGCCTGAACCATCAACTACCGCACCAAACGCCCTCATCACATGTGGCAGTACGGCTGTCAGTCAGAGGTGGCAGTCTGCCGTACCGGGATCCCCCAGGGCACTGTTCTGTCTCTGTTCCTCTTAACATTCTATACCTCGGACTTCACCTACAACACAGACAGCTGCCATCTTCAGAAGTTCTCTGATGACTCAACCATTGTAAGCTGTTTCTGAGGGGAATGAGCTGGAGTATCAATTCAGGTCATCATGAACTTTGTGGACTGGTGTGAGAAGAACCACCTGTGTCTTAACACCAGTAAGACCAAGGAGATGGTGATCGACCTCAGGAGAAGACCCCCACCTCACTTAAAATTAGATTTGGGGTGCCCAATTATTGAATGTATTAATTTGTAACAAACACCTTATATTCCATAATTAAACCTGCAGTTCCTTTTAAAATTCCAATAGGAGGGAAATCCTTTTACTTGTGTTCGAGTAAGATTTGACCATCAGTATCAATAATTTTACTCCAGTACTATAGCTGAGTACTTCGTCCACCTCTTGTAATTATCAGTACACCCCCAACTATAACCCTTACCAGTACATACCCACCCCTGACCATTACTGGTAGATACCAAACCCTAACCATTACCAATATATACCCAAGCATAACCATTACCAGTACATAACCAACCATAATTCTTACTGGTACATACCCAACTCTAGGCGTTACTGGTGCATACCCAACCTTAACCCTTACCAGTACATACCCAATCCTAACCAATTACCATTATATACCCAACCCTAACCTTTACTGGTACATACCCAACCATAACCCTTACAAGTACATTCCCAATCCTAATCATTAGTGGTACATACCCAACTCTAACCCTTACCTGTACATACCCAACCCTAACCATTACTGGTACATACCCAACCCTAACCATTACTGGTACATACCTAACCCTAACCATTACTGGTACATACCCAACCATAACCCTTACAAGGACATTCCCAACCCTAACCATTACTGGTACATACCCAACCCTAACCATTACTGGTACATACCTAACCCTAACCATTACTGGTACATACCCAACCCTAACCATTACCAGTAAATACCCAATGTACGTGCCAACCCTCAAATCTAACCATCGCCAATATATACCTAAGCCTATCCATTGACAGCACACCCAAACACTGAGTGCTGGGGTTCCTGGGGTCTCGTTACACTTACAGATATTTCCATCAATTTGCATTCTTCCAGAAGCAGGTCACAGCCTGTCAAAGCTTTTCTTAAAGAGCAGCCAGAAAAAACAAGTATCAAGACTTCGAAAATTACTTGATGTTGATCCCTAATGAAAATGAAGACCATCTTGAGCTCATTTCCAGGTCTTGTAGCAGCAGTGCAGAAGGCAGAGGATGAATAATTAGACAGTGGTGAGGAAGATGGGGCTATCTGGAGACTGGGGGTCTCTCTGGATGGAGTCGTGCCAGATTTTAATAGTTCTAGTCAGGAAAAATGTCATGCACCAGTGCAACAGGTGCATTATGCAACAGGCTTCCAAACCTGTAAAATGTGGAACATACTACTCTGGAGAGTCGGATAAACTCAAAGACGAATAAAGACCTTCATGTTTGTTTTGAGCTTAAACAGAAGATGGAAAAAGAGGGGAAAAACATTTATCTGAAGCATTATTAAGAGCAAAAATTACTCAGCATGCTAATATAGCTAACATTGGGTGTGGTTGTATTATGACTTTTTGTTTCCAGGTGTCCTGAGTTGAACTGTCTTTTGGCCATTATTTATGTTCCTGGTTTAAAATTTGCATAATAAAAAGACTAAAACTGAACATTAATCTCTCAGTTATATAACCAAGACTTCCTTTCTTTATTCCAGTTTAGAGGGAGAGTGAGTTTGATCTGACAGACAGTTTTGATATTTACCCATTATGTAAGAGTAGGAGTTTTCTATTTAGCTACTTCTTTGTTGTGGAGGTCTGGCGTTGTGGTAATATTGTGGCTTCAATAACCATCCTCTCTTCAGGGCTTTTTTTAATGCTTCCCTATTTAACTTTTGCATCTCTGTCTGTTTTCCCTCCTCAGCCGGAATCAGGTTGCTTGCAGTGTGAACTCTTCGAGCAGAAAGATGTAAGGAAGTTCCTTGGAGCACTTTTAAATATTCTTCAAATGGTGAATAGTGAGAAATGCAAAAGGGAGAATATCCAGGTTGCCCAAAGAACAACTTTTTCGGAAGGAGACTTTTAACAAAGACAACCTGCCTGATGAACAAGTCCTTCGGTGTGTTCGATCTGGAACAAGAGGTCAAAATAGAGGTTTGGGCCATGAATGTTCTAGTTCTGTTTGTTTCCGAGGCCGTACCAACTGAGTGCTCACTGGATGTTCTGGAGGGACCAGTGACCAGCAGAAGATCGGTTGGCATGTTAAAGGTTCTCCCATGCGACTCGTTGACAGAGCAGAATTGGATGAGAAAGTTGGATAGAGATTCTCTGGAGCCAATCATGGATCAGATCTAAAGAACTACTTTATCTCCCAAATGTGAGCAACACAACTTTGTGCATTGAAAAAAAACACAGCTTGCTCAATCCTGACATGCTTCCAACATGTTGTGGTTTCCAGGGTGACCCTGACTTTCCTGTGGGAGTTAAATGAATAACAGGGTGGGTGGGAATATGGGAGAGGCTAACAGATCGCTGTCTGTACCACAGCTGGGAAATAAACGTACCGAATATCCTTTGTTTCCAAAGAAATGCTGTTTCTAATAAAAACCTCTTTAAAAGTTGTCCCCTGTTGTTCTGGGTCTGACTGGAATGTTTTTTTTATGTTTTATTTTCTTGACTTTCCTTGTTTGAATCATCCCAAAAGTATCTTGTATATTTCAGCTGGTATTAGAATCCTACAACTAAAACTACAGGAATTACTTTCCATAAGTACCTCCTAATTTAAAGTATGGCACTGTAAAAGTACCTATATAAGTAACATGTAACCCTAAAAACACCCATATACCCCAGCCTATAACCTTGCTATTAATCTCTAGTAACACATGGTCTTAATTTCCCATCAGTTATGAATGCAGGCATAGATCTCAGCTTTTTGACATGAGACAAATTCCTGTTTTAAACCTGTTTTATAGAACTGGCGGCTACGATGGAAAACCGCTGATTTAGAGCGAGCCACTGAAGGAGCTTTTAATGAAGCAACATTCTAATTTACAACCATCTTTTCAGCCTTTAAAGATTGAGCTGACATCGCGTAGGGTGTTAATAAATAAACTACCTTTGATCAGAGCTGTTAAAAGTTGCAGTTTGATCATTTATTGTGTTATAAGAGACATTAAAAACAGACATGTGAGCACATTTACACTGTCAGGCTGCCGTCTGCAGAGAGTTTATCTGGGAAGCTGCTGATCTGCCCTCCAGCTCTATAATGACAGTCTAGATATGGATTGCAGTCGCTGTTTTACATCCATGTTATCTAATTTGAAGTCATGGACTTAGAAATTAGAACTGAGGTTCATGTGAAAATGAAATGAAATGTGAAAATGAGCCAGAAAATGACCCCACAGAATAAACTATATGCACAGATTAGGATTATATCCAGAAGCTAAAGAGCAGTAGGAATTTCTGGATCCAGTACAGCTGGGTAGAGGAAATGTTTGGTGCAGCCGATGGAAATGATTTTCATAAATCATAAGGTCCATTAAATTATCTATAATTTGGATCTAAATCTAAGTTTTGTTCCTTCTGTTGTTGCTTGCAACGGCTTGAAGCTCTAAACAATTAGGGAAATTACAACCGAAATTATAAACAATAATACCGTTTTCGTGCATCTGTTTGACTGTCAGGTCTAAAGCAAAGTTAAAACCACCCAAATTTGTGTTTTTTTTTTATAAAATAAAATTAACTTAAACAAGAGTTTTAAACTAAAAGGAAAGATGATCCAGATTTTTTTCCAAAAAAATACCTCAAAATTAAAATTTATGTCATACATTTTATTTATGAAGTACAATTTCTTCACCTTTAAGAAAAAAACTGCAACAACAGAGTAAATCCTTAAGTAAATCTTCAGATAATAAAGGCTGGAAGAGTGTGAATCCTCTGGAACTGATATTTAAGATGTATGGAGATGTTTTTCCTGCCTGGTTCCTGGCAGCTCTCTGGACCTTGATTTCTCTCTACCTACCATCTGTTTCTCACCAATGCCTGCCCTATGCCATGATGTGTATAAAACGATGTGATATCTCTCTGCTTGATGTATATTCCTTAAACTTGCTGTTGAAGATTCTCAGTCATTCAGGTCATAGTCATTCCAAAAAAGTTAAAGTTAAGAAACAAACCACTGGACTTTGTTTTCAAAGTTTGAAGACGTTTCGCTTCCCATCCAGGAAATCTTTTCAATTCAAATGTCTGGATTATGGCTGCTCAGTGGAACAGTGAGTAGCACTGCTACCTTGCAGCAAGAAGGTAGTTTGAATCATCCCAAAAGTATCTTGTATATTTCAGCAGGTATTAGAATCCCACAACTAAAACTACAGGAAGTACTGCCATAAGTACCTCCAAATTTAAAGTATGGCACTGTAAAAGTACCTACATAAGTACCATGTAACCCAAAAAACACCCATATACCCCAGCCTATAACCTTGCTATTAATCTCTAGTAACACATGGTCTTAGTTTCCCATCAGTTATGATTGCAGGCATAGATCTCAGCTTTTTAACATGAGACAAATTCCTGTTTTAAACCTGTTTTATAGAACTGGCGGCTACGACGGAAAACCGCTGATTTAGAGCGAGCCACTGAAGGATGTTTTTAATGAAGCAACATTCTAATTTACAACCATCTTTTCAGCCTTTAAAGATTGAGCTGACATCGCGTAGGGTGTTAATAAATAAACTACCTTTGATCAGAGCTGTTAAAAGTTGCAGTTTGATCATTTATTGTGTTATAAGACACATTAAAAACAGACATGTGAGAACAATTACACTGTCAGGCTGCCGTCTGCAGAGAGTTTATCTGGGAAGCTGCTGATCTGCCCTCCAGCTCTATAATGACAGCCTAGATATGGATTGCAGTCGCTGTTTTACATCATGTTATCTAATTTGAAGTCATGACTTAGAAATTAGAACTGAGGTTCATGTGAAAATGAAATGAAATGTGAAAATGAGCCAGAAAATGACCCCACAGAATAAACCATATGCACAGATTAGGATTATATCCAGAAGCTAATAAGCAGTAGGAATTTCTGGATCCAGTACAGCTGGGTAGAGGAAATGTTTGGTGCAGCCGATGGAAATGATTTTCATAAATCATAAGGTCCATTAAATTATCTGTAATCTGGATCTAAATCTAAGTTTTGTTCCTTCTGTTGTTGCTTGAAACGGCTTGAAGCTCTAAACAATTAGGGAAATTTCAACCAAAATTATAAACAATAATACCGTTTTAGTGCATCTGTTTGACTGTCAGGTCTAAAGCAAAGTTAAAACCACCCAAATGTGTGTTTTTTTAATAAAATAAAATTAACTTAACCAAAAGTTTTAAACTAAAAGCAAAGATAATCCAGAATTTCTTAAAAAAATCCCTCAAAATTAAAATTTATGTCATAAATTTTATTTATGAAGTACAATTTCTTCACCTTTAAGAAAAAAACTGCAACAACAGAGTAAATCCTTAAGCAAATCTTCAGATAATAAAGGCTGGAAGATTGTGAATCCTCTGGAACTGATATTTAAGATGTATGGAGATGTTTTTCCTGCCTGGTTCCTGGCAGCTCTCTGGACCTTGATTTCTCTCTACCTACCAAATAAAAGAAGATGGGGCTGCTCAGTGGAGGGATCTTTCTGCATGGAGTTTGCATGTTCTCTCTGTGCATGCGTGGGTTCTCTCCGGGTACCCCAGCTTCCTCCCACAGTCCTAAAACATGACTGTTCGGTTAACTGGCTTCTCTAAATTTTCTTTAGGTGTGAGTGTGTGAGTGAATGGTTGTCTTGTTTGTCTCTGTGTTGCCCTGAGATGGACTGGCGACCTGTCCAGGGTGAACCCCGCCTCTCGCCGTTAGACAGCTGGAGATAGGCACCAGCACACCTCGCCTCCTCGCTTGGCATAAGTGAGACAGAAGAGGATGGATGGATGGATGGATGGATGGATGGATGGATGGATGGATGGATGGATGGATGGATGGATGGATGGATGGATGGATGGATGGATGGATGGATGGATGGATGGATGGATTAGTGTTGATTTCCAAGCTTTTTAGAATAGCCCAACAAAGCTTTGTTATGGCTTAGAAAACATGTAAATTGAACTGGAAGAACAGGTCTGTTGAAGTCGTTGTTAGCCACCCGATACTGGCCCATGCCTCTGAAAAGAGGAGTCGTTAGGGTCATTGCTGGCTCGGCTAAACAGGCGAGATGTCTTGGTCCCCTGCGTGGAGATGAGGATTGAGATGATAGCAGGAAGGAATCAACTCTATTGCTGAGTTGTGGGTTTTTGAGAGCTGGAACCTGATTCCACCCCCTGAGTCAACCAACCTTAAAGAGAGACGGTGCACTCAGGTTTCAGCTCTCAAAAATTTACAACGCAGCGTTAGAGTTGGTGCCTTTTTTTGCTATCATTTCAATCCTCATTGCTGTGCAGGTGACCAAGACATCCCGCCTGTTTAGCCAGGCTAACAAAGTACTCAACGACTCCCCATTCCTCAAGGGCAGACCTGTTCTTTTGGTTCAATTTCAATGTTTTCTAAGCCATAACAAGGCCGTGTTAGGCAACTCTGTAAGGCTTGGAACTCAACACTAATTCTGACAGTTGAATCGAAAAAGCTTCCTGGATGGGAAGCGAAACATATTCAAACTTGGAAATAAAAGTCCAGTGTTTTGTTTCTTTTACTTTTTTGGAATATGCTCTCTTCGTCCTCTGACTTGGGAATTGGCTCGAAGGTCGTCTGCCTGGCTGTGTGTTTCCTGAACGGCGCAGCCTTTTACAGTTGCCTTTCCTATCTCTGCTTCTTTCTGCATCTCTGCTTCTGTCTCCTTGAACCCCAGTCGGCCTCAGCAGATGGCCGCTCACACTGAGCCTGGTTCTGCTGGAGGTTTCTTCCTGTTAAAAGGGAGTTTTTCCTCTCCACTGACGCTACAAGCATGCTTAGAGTGAGGGATTGCATCCAAGTCAATGAGTCGATGCAATCAACTGGTTTTCCTTTGATAGAAAACTTTGAATCAATTGGACTTTATGATCTGGTGAACTGTGTTAGGATAACTATTATAACTAAAGTGCCTTGAGATGACATATGTTGTGAATTGGACGCTATATAAATAAACTGAATTGAATTGAAACTGAAATGAATTCATTAAACATAAAGATATAAGACTTATTTGAATTTGTATAATTTTCCTTTGATAAAAAAATTCCCATAACAAGGAGCAGGCTCCTGGTTGGCTTTTTAGAGGCCTTTGAGACTCACAGAAAGGAGGAGATAAATTATTAATATCACACATCCATCTCGTCCTCCAAAACAAGCACCCAGGACCACAACTCCTCCAGGTGAGGCAGAGGCTGAGCAGATGCAGATGAGGAAAGAGGAGATAAGGAGGCTTGCATTTATTTAATAAAAGCTTGAGTGAAGCACTGCTTATCCTCCTGCAGAAGTGTGTTGCAGATATTTTTGATTTATGCCGAATATTGAAGCGTGGGCTGAGCTGTTATTCCACACCACAACGCAATAGGGACAATCAGGAACTAGCTGTGGGTCTAGATACAGCCGGGGCGGTGAGGAATGCACTGGAAAAATGATTTAGAAATAAGTAAAGATTTCTTAAATTAAGTGTATTTAGCCTTCAATTTGAGTAGGTAAATGAGATAGTTTACCAATGGAATGAGTATTTTTACTCTTAAAATAAGATAATTAGATAATATCCACTTAAAATAAGAAAATACAATTGTGTTTTCTTATTTTAGGTGTAAATTCTCTTGTTCCATTGGCAAAATGTATCTTTAAAGCTCCTCAATAGAAGAACAAATGAAGTTATTTTAGGAAAAAATGACTTACCTAGATTTAGATTTTTTGAGTGTGGTGGCAAGTTTGTGCGACAACGGAGGGACACGAGGGCGAAAAAGAGCGGGGATCCAGGTGGAAAAAGGGTCGCTGCATTCTTGTGCACCTCTCTCTTCTAGCTGGTCCAACTTCACGAGTCATTTTTTACAATGGAGGTCATACAAACAAAACAAGCCGGTAAGGTACCAAACAGGAAATACGCATAGTGTAGAGCGGATGTAGATTTGACCAATCAGAGGCCTTCTGTCTGCAGCACTGTCTGCAGTCACTTAAGGGCAGTTTATACTTCTGCAATCGCACACATCAAATGTCACTTGCATCTGGCCGCGAACCAGTTTTGCTGGTATGCTTCTGCACCATCGGTCTGGAATTTCTAGGGACGCACAGCAGTTTCCCGCCAAATAGCAAGGGAAAGCCTATTGGAGGACTTGCAAGAACTGCGGCGGATGGTCACGAGAACTTTGGCGACGGGAGTTTTTATCTTCCAAAACAATGGTGCGCCTGCAAGGTATCACGATCAGGGAGATGGATGTAGAGTTGCTAGACATCTAAGAGGAACAGGTTCTGTAAATGGAGTTGGCAAAAAGACCGAATAACCTTTCGTCGTGGCTGTCCATTCTAGTTGTTCCTCGGTTTTTAAAAATTGCTCGCCCCGGCACCGAATTGAGAAGGACGACCACACAGAGAGCTGGAAAGGCATACCAAGGACCAATCACAGCTACTTTTTGTCTGTGCACTTCCGCTTAAAGCCTGTGCGGGTTTGCGACCGTCCAACACTTAGTCAGGATTTTTTTAGGTGTGTGATGACGGTTGCAGAACTTCTGCGCAGGGGGCGTGGTCGCACACGGAGACAGATTTGACGATTTGCAAAGGCTATGCGTCAGAAGCATAAATTGGCCTTTACGAGTGTGAAGATGTGCACCACAGTGTCTACGTTGGGGGCACATTTGCATTCACTGCGACACACGCAGACAACATGGTTTCTGAGCGTAAACCAGCCTGAAGTCAACAAAGTCAGCTTGAAGGAGTTTCTGACATCAGAAATCAATTAAAGCTCTTTAAAATACCAACCAGTTTCTTATTTTCATTCCAAGACCTTTATGTTTACATTTCAGTTTGGAAAACCAATCCAAGAGGACAGAACCTGTGAAGTCATGATCTGGAGGGCTTTTTTTTCTGGAAAACTTAATGCCCACTAAAGTATAAAACCATGCACAAAGAGGAAGACATTTAACCCTGTTTTTTTTTTTTTTTTTTAAATCTCATTATGAGAGTATAACTGATTTCCTTTTAATGTCACATCTGAGCAGTGAGTCAGACGATGGCTTTTGGCTGCCATCTTCAACAGAGACATTTCCCTCATAAACATGCTGAGCAGAGTGTGAATGAATGAGGGTTTAAATGCTTGGGTTGGAGCTGAAGCAATAAAAACACAAAGTGCAGCGTGACCCAGTTGAAAAATATCTCTTTTTTTCTTTAGGATTTAATTCAATCAACCAGTGATTTGGCTCAGATACATTATTTGTCAGTTTCCTGTATCTGATTCCAGGGCTAGTCGCAACAATCTGGACGAGTAATGAAAGCTGCGTCTCGTTATTTACTGTAAACAAAATGTCACAATGAGCTGCAGTTCAGAGCAGCAACAGAGTTCAGCTCCAATCTGTCTGAGCAGGCCTGCTGCAGAACCACTTCAGGGCCCGCTGTTTGACTCAGTTCAAAGCTCCCTGCGGCTGGCAGCGATCCAGGCCTCAGGGCCCGGGACCAGACCCAGAGCCGTCCATCAGCTGTCAGGTTTGTCCTTGTTGGGCCCCATGAACTCCACCCCATCGATCGGGATGTCCTTCTCCTTGATGGCCTTCTGCACGCAGCGCTGGTACTTCCGGAAGGTCTCGGTGCATGGGTCTCCGCCCCGGTCCCCTTTGAGGAAATGCTCCGCGAACCAGCGGTTGAAGCACTGGTCGTACTCCCGCTTCAGGTCCGTGCAGGCCTCCCCTACGCTGTTCATCTCCGGGGATCCGAGCAGGCAACGCCGCAGAGAGATTATCCAGACGGGATCTACTATCGCTACAGACGCAGCAATAACAACCACGCTGACTGACTGTCCTTTAACGCAGCACGGGATTGGCTGTTTCTACACAGACGCAGAGGTAGAGCAGTGTAGCACGTCACGGCTTAACAGAGATATGTGCAGACAGAGTATGCACTCTGATATAACATGCTATTACTTTGAATACTACCTATACAGCTAGAAATAACGGAACTAATTATGATAAGAATTGTGTTTGCTTTTCCAGTTTTACCCTCTGTTCTATTTTTTTCTTTGCAAAAGGCAACTTTTCTTTTTTTGTTTTCAAAAACACCATATATGCCGTTTCTGAGGGAACTTTTTTCAGTGCAGATATTTCAATACAGCTAATTAATTTCCAGGTTTAGGTCCCAAAAATAGTTTTATGGACTTTTTGTTTATAATTTAATTTATATATCAATGTTTACTGAACAAATTTATATCAAAACAGTAAAAGATGATGCTGTAAAGCTAAAAGCCAGATGCCATTTTTCAGGGAAAAATAAAATGCTGACAATATATGGTAAAACGTACGAAAGAGGATTAGGGCCACTGAAAAAATATAAAAAAGTTAACTGATTTTAAACTTTTATTTTAGTATAATATAAAGTCAGAATTCTAACTTTTTTTCTCAGAATTCTGAGATTAAAGTCACAATTTTGATTTTTTTCCCCTCATATTAAACTGAAATAATATTTACAATATCAGTTAACTTTTTTATTTTTTTAGTGGCCCTAATAGAAATGTCAGACATCAGACACGTCCTTTTTTACACAATTTCTCACACCTAAAGAAAGCAGCAGAGTGAGCCCTCTTTATTTTGTTTTATTGTCGTCAACTCAAAACCCGCGAGAGTTGATACGCAGCTTTCTGAAGTCTCGCGGCTCTCCGGGAGATCCAGACTCGTCACACAGATTCAAATAGTTGTTGTTTGGCTTTATTCGTCTTTTACTGGGATAAAACCCACAGCAAAGCTTAAAACCAGGTCAGAAGCGGGTGTCAGTTGGTTTATATGACAGCTAATTTATTATATAAGGCTGGTTATCTTCATGCTAACCAGATTAGCATGCTTTGTTAGCTTAGCTGGGGTGGTTTTTTGCAGTTATTGTGCTCGGTTCGGATGTTTAATGTCACGTTCTCTCCATGTGAGTCGTCTCTAGTCACACCAAGATGTCTGACAGCGATGACAGCGACTTCTCGGACAACCAGAGTGAACGAAGCAGCGACGGGGAGGCCGAGGAGGTGGATGAGAATGAGGTGAGCTGGTGCTGATGAGATGCTACAGGCACGTTCTTACCAGTGGATCTCAAATCCTTTCATTTTTAATTCTTCATTATTGTATAGTCATTATTCTATGCACACCCATTATCTATAAGGCCAACTACCAGTATAGATGTTCGATTCCTGTATAAACTATTTACTCAGACGCTCCTTCTATCAGCTTGTTTTTTGTAAACAAACCAAATCTAAACTCTTTGCTGTTTTAGGGGGTTTTGTGAAGCCTTATAACACAACAAACGTGTCAATATTTTTGCCTTTTTTCTCTCTGGAAGCAGAAACGTTGCTGTTGATGTAATCCTCCAATAAAAGCAGATACATTAAAAATGTTGTAGGAATAGTTTTATATTAGCTGGACGTTTCTTTTTTTTTAAAGCATGACTTAATTTTTGTTGTTGTTGATTTCCAATTTACCTGATTAGCTATTATAAGTTTTATGGTTTATAAATAAAAAAGTAACAAAGTATTTTTTGGTGGGTGGGACCACAACAAAAAACAAAAACAGGTTTGACCTAAAGTTTATTATTTGTTGAGGCATTCATGTTGAGGCGTTCATTAAAGTTGTTGGCTCCCACCGCCAGGAGGAGCCGGCCAGCCCCGTCGGCAGTGATAAAATAGCCGAGGAAGAGGGGGAGGACCTCGACGAGGATGAGGAGGAATACGATGAAGAGGAGGATGAAGAAGACGAGGACCGGCCGAGGAAGAAGCCCAAACACGGAGGGTTTATCCTGGATGAAGCTGGTGTGACGAGACGACCCTCCTTCTGTTTTAACGTGGACAGTCATCGTGTTGTTTTCTGAAGGCGGAGCTCTAACATACACCTGCTCCTCCGTGTCTTTGTACAGATGTGGATGATGAAGATGAGGATGAGGATCGCTGGTCTGAAGGAGGGGAGGATATTCTGGAGAAAGGTTAGACTTCTCAGACTTTCTGTTTGCATTAAAAAGAGCGTTACGTTCATAACAAACATGATTAGAGCAGCAAAGAAGGTCCGACGCGCCTCGAGGACATCTGTGATGCCCTTGAAGCGTGTCCAGTAAAGAGTGTCCAGATGCGTCTCACCCCCGGCTCACACCGACTCCGGTCTTACCGTTGCGGTGCGGTGGGTGCGGCGCCGCAGTGATTCCAAGTCATTAGAAAGACATAAACCTCTCTCACCGGCTGCTGAGCTGCCCGGCTGCGGTTACCGAGACACTCCGGCGCTGCAGAAAATTCAGCAAGAAAGCTATCCTTACGGCGTGCCGGAGCCCTCCGCAACAAGCTCTCGCTAATATCCTTATTTGGGCCGTGTTATCGCGTGAAGTTACGTGAACTCAAGTGAACTTCTGTTGTCGCGAGTTAAATCTCCGGACCTGTTGCCGGAGCCGCAGAGCCGCACCGCACCGTAGTCAAAAGGGCGGTGTGAGAGGTGGTGTGTGGGAGTTGCGGTCTCCGTCGGCTCGTTAACCGAACCGGAGCCAGTGTGAGCAAGGGGTTATGCTTCTGCTACTACTGTGTTCAATGGCAGAGAGGGACTTTGCTATATTTGCTGTGAAAAATCGATAAAAAGTAGTTTTAATATGTTTTAAGTGGAAAAAGTCCACCTCAAAACATCATCTGGGAAGTCAGTTGATCTAGGTTACGATTCTGCTTTAACATATTATTTCTCTGTCGGAGACGTGCAGACCCCCACATACCAGCATTGCGCTGCCACTGGGGAACAAGTCGGGCTGGGAATTGACAAGATTTTCGCGATTCTGATTCCCTTATCGATTCTCTGAAACGATTCGATTCCTTATCAATTTCACTGTACAATTTCGGGAAATAAGCTCCTCCCCCTGATTTTAAATAAATGAGCTTCATCTTTCTCTTGTTCCCTGAACTGCGGAGCAACTTCGTAGCATGTTTCGTTTCATCCATTGCAATAGCTAGAATCATGTAAGAATTCCAGCTACCTTTAGTTCTAATTAAACATGCTAGCAATGAAGGGCTGAATTAACGAGAAAGCCACACTCCCTTAATAAATCCAAAGAGAGGTAGGAAACTGGTTTATTTCCAGAAATGGCATATGATTTACTAGGGGTGGGTATTGCCAAAGACGTCACGATTCGATTTGAATCACGATTCATATGCCACGATGCGATTCTATCACGATGCATCACGATACTTGAATTATTGCGATGCATTGCAATATTTTCTCCTCCATGTTTTGTTTTTGAATGACTCGTCGCAGTATCCCACGGCCGGAAATGCTTGTGACACAAGGCAGCGTGCGTCAACGCATCCGCAGCGACATCTACTGGACTGGAAGTTGTATTACACTTGTTTTTGGCTGATGTTCGCCAACCATTCATGCAATTTTATTTATAAATTTTTTAAAATAATAATCGATACTTAGCGTCAAGAATCGATGCAGTAGATCACGAAAATTAGAATCACGATGCATCATCATGACGATTATTTTGCACACCCCTATGATTTACTAGGAACCACATTAAGCACAGCCAGTGATATAAAACTAGCTGCTTACCACCAGAGTTGCCTTCCATGCTGGTCGTTTTTAGCTTTTGTCCGGAAGCATCAAAAATACGGCATTCGTTAAAATGTATGCCATGTTGTGTGCGCAGGTGTTTCTGCATGTTATTGCCACTTTGCAAGGATTGCAAGGCGCCTTTTTTTATTGCTTTTCTAGACTTGCGCCTTGTCACGTCGTACTTGCATACTGAATGCCGTGTGTGTAACTTGTGTAAAAAACATGTCGTGCTGCCCAGCACCAGGCTCTGGTGCTGCCTGGAATCGTTAAGAGAATCGTTAAGCGAGCTGCCAAACGGTGCCATGGAATTGGAAAACACAAAACTGGTTCTGAACAGGAACCGGTTTTCGATTCCGATCCCTAGAATCAAGCAGCAGCAGCTGCCTCCAGCCCAGTCGCCTCCTGGGGGGGTTTCCCCTACAAAGTAGATGCTAGCATTTTTCAGGTGTGTGGTACAAACTGCAGGTACCAGAATAATATAAGCAAACTTATTTTGCTGGCAGGTTTCGATATTTTAAGTTAATTTAGGCGTTAATAAACAGTTTCAAGGGAGTGATCATAGCTCTCAGAGCACTGTGTCTGTCTCCCTGCCAACTCCCAGATCAGCTTCTCTGATTGGTTGATGTGGCGCGTCGAGCATCAAGTTCAGCTTTTCCAACTCCAGCATCTGCTGCTTGTGAAGTGCGTCACGCACCTCTGATGGGGGAGTGGCGGCCTAGTGGTTTGGGCATAGAGCTTGAAATCCTGAGGCTGTGAGTTCAAGCCCCTCTCCCACATTGCCACTCTGGGTCCCTGAGCAAAAAGACTCTTAACTGCTCCCCCAGGTACCACACAATTGCAGCCCACTGCTCCATAAGAGGATGGGTGAGTGAATTTCGTTGCTCTGTACTTGGAGCAATGTAATGGCATTAAAAAAAGCTGGGAAAAAAGAGAAGCTCATGAGGCGCTGCTCAGATGCACTGTCCTTTTAAAGAGCCTGGATCCACGGACATGCAGGTGCCGCAGTGGTTAGGGTGCATGACCCATGTACGGAGGCCTTAGTCCTTGACGTGGGCAACCAGGTTCGAATCCAGCCTGTGGTCCTTTGCCGCATTTCTCTCCATCTCTCTCATCTCCCCTTTCCTGTCAGCCTACTGTCAGAAAAAAGAGCCACTAGTGCCATTACAAAAAAAAAGCACCTGGATCCACATCAACTACAGAGTTTACATGTAAACCTGCTGCTTCTGCTGCTCAAATCATGTTCGCTATGAACGTAGCATAAGTCAACCA